GTTGAAAGTTTTTTTCATAAATGAGTGTTGAATTTTGTCAAATGCTTTTTCTGCATCTATTGAGATAAGATTATGATTTTTATCTTCCATTTTGATAATGTGGTATATCACACCAGTTGATTTGCAGATGTCAAACCATCCTTGCATCCGTGGAATAAATCCCACCTGAACATGGTGTACAATCCTTTTAATGTATTGTTGAATTAAGTTGCTAATATTTTGTTGAGGATTCTTGCATCTATGTTCATCAGGGATATTGACCTGTAGTTTTCTTTTCTTATGGCATCCTTGTCTGGATTTGGTTTCAGGGTAATGCTGACCTTGTAAAACGAGTTTGGAAGTGTTCCCTCCTCTTCTGTTTTTTTTCTTTGATAGAGTTTGGGAAGGATTGGCATTAATTTTTTCTTTAAATGATTGGTAGAATTCACTAGTGAAGCCATCTGACTCTGGAGTTTTGATTACTAATTCAGTCTCCTTACTAGTAATATTTGTTCAGTGATTCAGTCACTGTAGGTTGTATGTTCCTAGGAATTTATCCATTTCTTCTAGGCTGTTCAATTTGTTCGCACCTAATTGTTCATAGTTGTCCTTTATGATCCTTTGTATTTATGTGTTATCCATTTTAATCTTTCCTCTTTCATTTCTGACTTGAGTCCTCTCCTTTTCTTGATGAGTCTAGCTAAAGGTCTGTCAATTCTGTTGTCTTCTCAAAGAGCTGGCTCTTAGTTTTTTTAATCTTTTCTATTTTTTGTCTCTATTTCATTTATTTCCACTGTGATCTGTTATCTCCATCCTTCCTCCAAATTTGAGCTTCTTTGTTCTTTTTCTAGTTACTTGAGGGTATAGAGATAGGTTGAGATCTTTTTTGTTTCTTGATGTAGGCATTTATCACTATGAACTCCCCTCTATAGCAAGAAATTCTCATTATATCCCATAAGTTTGGTATGTTGCATTTCCATTTTTATTGTCTCAAAGTATTTGTTTTTTAATTTCTTCTTTGACCCATTGGTTGTTCAGTAGCATGTTGTTTAGTCTTCATATACTTGTGAATTGTCCAGTTTTCTTCTTGTAATTAACTTCAAGTTTCTAACATTGTGGTTGGAAAAGACAGTTGATGTATTTTTAGTCATCTTAAACTTATTAAGGTTTGTTTTGTGGCCTAAAATATGATGTATGCTGGAGAATATTCATGTGTGCTTGAGAAGAATATATATTCTGTTGCTTTTGGATGGAATGTTCTGTATATATCTGTTAAGTTCTCTGGTCTGACATGTCATTAAGGCTAATGTTTCCTTATTGATTTTCTGTCTGAATGATCAATCCATTGGTGAACGTGAAGTCCTCTATTAATACTGTATTGTTGTATATTTCTTTATGTTTGTTAGTATTTGCTTTATATATTTAGGTGCTCCTAGGTTGGGTGCATAGCTATTTTCAAATGTTATATCCTTTTGTTCGATTAATCCCTGTATCATTACAAAATGACCTTGTCTCTAATTAGTCTTTTTCTTAAAGTCTATTTTGTCTGATATAAGTATACCTACCCCAGCTTTCTTTTGTCTTTTATTTGCATGGAATATCTTTTTCCATCCCTTCACTTTCAAACTATGTGTATTCCTACATCTGAAGTATCTTGTAGGCAGCATATAGATGTATCTTGTTTTTTTAATCTACTTAGCCACTTTATGTCTTTTGATTGGAGCATTCAGTTCATTTAAAGTGATTATTAACAGGTATGTACTTATTGCCATTCTGTTCATTGTTTTCTGGCTGTTTTGTAATTCCTCTACTCCTTCTTTTCTTGGAATTTGATAATTTCCTGCATTAGCATGCTTAGATTACATTCTCTATATTTTGTGTATATACTATGGGTTTTTGCTTTGGGGTACCATGAAGCTTACAAAAAAACAACTTATATTTATAATAGTCTATTTTAAATTGATAACAACTTAAGTTTGAAAGCTCTACATTTTCACATTTTGATGTCACAGTTTACACCTTTTAATCTTGTGTATCCATTAGCAAATTATTGTAGTTACATTTATTGTTACCACTTTTGTCTTTTAACCGTTATGCTAGCTTTATAAGTGATTAACCCATCACCTTTACAACATTAGATTATACTGAATTTTACTATAAATTTACCTTTACCAGTAAGATTTATACTTTCATGTTTTTCTGTTACTAATTAGCATACTTTTGTTTCAGCTTTAAAAAGTACCTTTAATATTTCTTGTAAGGCCAGTCTTGTGATGTTGAACTCCTTTAGCTTTTGATCATCTGGAAAACCCTTTATCTCTCCTGTATTTCTCCCCCCCTCCCCAGTTTTATTGAGATATAATTGACATACATTACTATATACGTTTAAGGTGTATAGCAAAATGATTTGACTTAACAAACATCAACTCAATTCTGAAGGACAGCTTTGCTCGTTAGCACACTCTTGGTTTGCAGTTTTTTCTTTCAGCACTTTGAAAATATCATGCTACTTCCTCTGGCCGGCAAAGTTTCTCCTGAAAAAATCTGCTGATAGTCTTATGAGCGTTCACTTGTATGTAAATTGTTTTTCTCTTGCTGATTTTGATTCTCTCCTTGCATTTAAATTTGACACTTTAACTACATGTAATATGTCTTAGCGTGGGTCTCTTTGGGTTTATCTTATTTGGAATTCTCTGGATTCTTGGATCTGGATGTCTGTTTCTTTCCCCAGGATAGGAATATTTTCAGCTATTATTTAAAATGAGTTTTCTGCCTGTTTCTCTCTCTCTCCTCTTTCTGGGACCCTTATAATGCAAATGTTGGTCTGCTTGATGGTGTCCCTTAAGTCCCTTAATCTACCTTCACTCTTTTTCATTTTTTTCTTTCTCTGATTTGATGAATTCCAGTACCTTGTCTTCAAGTTTACTAACCCTTTCTCTTGCTTACTCTAGTCTGTTGTTAAACCCCTCTAGTATATTTTTCACATCAGTTATTGTATTCTTCAGCTCTGTGCCTTCCATTGGTACTTTCTTATATTTTCTATCTTTGGTTGAAGTTCTCCCTTTGTTCATCAAATGTTCTCCTGAACTCATGAGCATCTTTAGGACCATTATTTTGAACTCTTCATCAGGTAAATTATCTGTATTTCGCTAAGGTTTTTTTCTGAGATTTTATCTTGTTCTTCCATTTGGAATATATTCTTCTGTTTCTTTGACTTTCCATGTTGGTATGTATGCACTAGAGAAATCAGCCACCTCTCCCAGTCTGAAGTAGTGGCCTCATGTAATAGATAAAATTATTGTTCAACCCTGCCCTAGTTGGTTCTCTCTCAAACCTTTGTGTTTGTTTAAGCAGGCTACTTTATTCTTAGTGGCTCCAAGAAGGGAGGGTGTTCCTAGATCTGTCGGTGTCCCAGAGAGGAGAGAATCTGTCTTCTCCCTCTGTGCTGAGCCTTGGGGTGACAGCCAGTTAAGAACCGTTTCTTTGTTTGCTCCTGTCCCATTGAACCTGTGAACACATGCCTCACTGGCTGCAAGAGCCAGTCTGTCAAAGGATGTGTCCTCAGTGTGGCAGCCACAAAAGCTGGGTCACCAGATATTTACACAAGCTCCTTTCTCAGAGACACTGGCGACTTGGGGCTGGGAAGATGGAAAGCATGAAGATGACACTTGCTAGCTTCCCTGGTCTCTGGAGAGAATTGTAGTCACCCTCTATGTGTGTGTTAGAAAGAAGCCTGGCCCACAGGCCACAGCTATGAAGATAAGAGGCTACTTGTATAGAAGGATTGGGACTTTCAAGTCTGTTGCTTCTCTGCTGTACCCTGGGGTTAGGTGGTTAAGAAGTCTTCTCTATTTGTTACAATCCTGTGGTACCTGTGAGTGTAAGCCCTGCTGTCCACCAGAGCCAGGTGATCAAGGGGTGTCCCCTGGGTGGCAGCTGCAAAAAGCAGGACATGAGAGGAGTACACAAGCTCCTTTCTGGGAGATACCAGCAGCTTGGAGCAAGGGAGACTGTAAAGATGGCACCTGCTCGCCTCTGTTTTGGAGAGTGTTTCAGTAAGTCCCTGGATATGTATTAAATTAGATGCCTGCCCCTCGGGCTGAAGCTTTAAGATAAGCAAGTTGGCTTCTTTAACAGGAAGACTGGGTATGTTTTAGTTGGCTGCCTCTGCTCTGGGCCCTGGGGTGAGTGATTCTACCTAAGCCCTTCAAAAACTGTTTCCCAGATCACTATCAATCACCTTCTGGGTCTCAAGGGAACAAGCCCCAATGGCTTTCAAAGCTAGATGTTCTCAAAGTTAGAGGTAATTGTCTCTCAGGTGCAGGCCTTAAAAGTTGAGGTTCAAACCCTTTGCTCCTCAGGGAGAGGCTTGGAGTTGTGAGAGCCCTCCAGATTGTGGGTCACCATGCCAGGGTTCATGGTGATACTGTGTCTCAGCCTCTCCTACCTAATTTGTAGGAAGGAATTGCTCAGATAGTTTTAGAAGAAACTGTTCCATATCTAGCTGTAGACTTGGTGTGAGAAGAAGTGAGTTCAGGATCCTTCTATGTCACCCTCCTGAACTGGAACACTGGGGTTCTTTTTCGAATGGTTAGTAGGAAGAGAGGAGGACTTATGGGAAAAAAGGCAAGATCCACTCTAATCAAAGCCTGGGTACATTTTGTCAAATCAGTGACATTTCTAGGTTGGAAGTCTGAAAATTTTCAAAGAGATTCTAAGCCACATAGGATGGTGGTTTAAACAAATCTTTGCTGGACAGTTATTTGTCCATTCTTCTCCTCTCTGCCATTATGGAATCGTAAGACCTCCTGAAGAATTATCCGAGCAACATACTAATTCCATTCCTCGTAGAATGAAAGACAGGATAATGCAGAATATAAGAAGAGTACTTATTCTCCAGAATTGGCAAAATGGCAGCAAAGTGACAACTATCCACCTGGACTGTCTTCCTGCCAACAGTTATGTAGCTTCCCCTCCCGCCACACCTTTCTAAATACAAACCTGACCATGTTTCTTGGCAGAAGACACTAACTAGCAAGCTCTACAAGACCCCGTCTACTCCTTCAGGCCTTGTGTCTTTCTGGAATTGCAACCTATACGATCCAGCCATTTGGAACTGCCATCATTCCCAAACAAACCAGATTGGCTTATATCTCCATGACTGACTTCATGCTGCTGCTGCTGCCTGTCTGCCTAGAGACACCTGCTCATCTTCAGAGACCAAGCCTAACGTGATGCTGTGAAGCCTTATCTGACCACGTACTCAACAAAATGCACTCATTTCTCTTGGGTATATAACTAGGAATGGAATTGCTGGGGCACAGGGTGAGCAATTTTTAGTTTTAGTAGGTACTTCCAAACAAATTTCCAAACTGACTGCATCAAAATGTGTAATTCTACCAGGAATTTATAGTATTCCAGTTGCTTCACATCCTTGCCAACATTTATTGTTAGCATTCTTTTAAATTTTAATCGTTCTGATAGGTAATTGTGTTTCATTAATTGGCATTTGCCAGATGACTAATGATATTATCTTTTTATTGGCCGTTTGAATACCCTCTTTAGTGAAGCACCTGCTCTTTGTATATATTTTGGATTCTTTTCGTGGATGTATGTATTGTAAATATCATTATCCAGTCTGTGGCTTGCCATCTTACTCTTTTTTGGTGTCTTTTGATGAACAGAAGTTCTTAAAGTTATTTTTATTTATCTTTTTTTAAGACTAGTAATATTTGCTATTCCACCCAGCAGCCATTCGGAACCAGAGGGTGGAGGACAGAATGAAAAGAAGCTTGGATCCCTGAGGACTGTGGGCTGCCATACATAGGAGAGAGAAGTAAGCATCTATTGTTATTAAGCCTCTATTTTTTTTCAAGCCTCTTTCTCAGTTGAACCTGAGCTTACATATCACCACAGCAAACATTCTGCACAGAAGTACATTTACATATTTAAAGGAACTGGCTTTGACTGTAAAATTTTTACTTGGTGCTGTAAGGTATTTAGGAGCTGGGTCGATTGACCTCTAGCACCCGTACTTATATAAGTATTTTTAAAAATAATCATATTTGCACATAACAGGCACTCAAAGTCATACTGAATAAATACATGTGAGATAAAAATACATATCTTCTAAGATCACTTTTGATCAAGGGAATTTTAAGGTGCTTATATATGTATAAATATACATATATATTATAAATCATAAATACCAACAGTTATTATGTGGCTTTGATGGAAAAAAATGAGGACTTTAGTATTACTGGAGAGCAGTAGCAATATCTAACAATGAAAACGTTTTAAGTCAAGAAGTATTTGAGGGGCTGCCTCAGGGGCCAGCTTTGTTAAACATCAGTACCAGCTCTTGGGAAAAATCACAGAAGATACTATAAATAGAGGGACTGTGAACACCTAGAACTGCTAGGACACAGACTACTGATCTGATATATATTAAAAAGCTATCCATTTAAGAAGGAACAGGAGAGAAAATCAAGGTCATAGATCTCAGGATTAGGAGCTGAGGCTGACAGATCAAATGACAGAATCTGTAAAACTGAAAAGACGACTCAGAAAAAGAACAAACATATCTTGCCCAAATGCAAAGCTTTCTCTTTGTATAACTTCTGCATGTTCCCTGAATATTTATTTTTCAGTATGATTTATGAATTACCCTGCCATTGGCTGTAAAACACGAGGTAGACTGATTTTTATATCAACAAAGGATCATCAGAATTTAAGTATCACTGATTTATTTAAGGAATTTCAAAAGAGAAATATTCCTTGCCACAGTTCCATGAGCAAATCCTAAAAGTAGCTGACTGAAATGATTAACAGCAGCTTAAGAAAGAGTCCCATTTTTGAAATTAGAATGAAAAAGAGTGAAGAAAGCATACATGAGCTATGTGGGGCATGATCAAAAACAATATCCTCACTTTGCGAGTCCCAGAGGAGAAGGGATAAAGGGACAGAAATCTTATTCAAAGAAATATTGGCTGAAAACTTCCCAGATCTGGGGAGAGATACAGCCATCCAGGTATGGGAAGCTTAGAGATCCCACCCAAAGAGATCCTCACTGAGACACATTATAATCAACAATCTCTCAAAAATCAAAGTCAGAAAGAAAATCACATACAGGGAATTCTGATAAGGCTCTACATTTCTCAGCAGAAACCTTACAGGCCAGGAGACAGTGGGATGATACATTCAAAGCACATAAACAACAACAACAAAACTCATCCAAGGATATCTTACCCAACAAAAGCATGAAGGAAATTAATCACCACTAGACCTGCCCTACAAGAAATGTTAAAGGAAGTTCTTCAAACTGAAACAAATTAGTAGCATGAAAACATATTGAAATATAAAATTTACTGGTAAAGGTGAATATATATAGTCAAATTCAAAGAACTCTAATACTTCAATGGTGGTGTGTAAATCACTTTGAAATCTAGCATATAGGTTAAAGACAACAGTGTTGAAGGTAACTATAGCTGTAATATTATGTTAATATAGTATTTATTAATATAATACATAAATGTATAATATATAATTATATAAAAATATATAAATTGGGACATCAACATAAATCTGAGGGGGGCAGGTAATTGGGTAGAACTTTCTTATGTAATTGAAGTTATCATAGATGGTTATAACATATTATGAAAGCCTCATGGTAATAACCACAGACCAAAACTAGGTAACAGATATACAATGATAAAGAGAAAAGCACACTACTACAAAAAATCATCAACTCAAAAAGAAAGACAGCAAGAGGAACAAAGGAACTAAGGAATGACAAAACTATCAGAAAGCAATTAACATACTGGCAACAGTAAGTCCTTAGCTATCAGTAATTAATGTAAATGGCTAAATTCTCCAATTAAAAGACACAGATGGGCTGAATGGATTAAAAATAAGACCTAACTATATGCTGCCTACAAGAGACTCACTTAAGCATTATGGATATTCACAAACAGAATGTGAAGGGATGGAAAAAGATATTTCAAGCAAATAGAAACCAAAAGAAAGCAGGGGTGGTTATTTATATCAGACAAAATAGATGTTAAACCAAAAACTGTAACACAAGACAAAGTCATTATACAATGGTAAAGGGGCAATTCATCAGATATATTAATTGTAAACATATACGCACCCAATATTAGAGCATCTAAAAATATTAAACAATTATTAACAGACCTAAAGGGAAAAATAGACAGCAATGCAATAATAGTAGAGGACCTCAATACACCACTTTAAACAATGGACAGATCACCCAGGCAGAAAGTCAAGAAGGAAATAATGGTTGTGAGTGATGCTTTTGAACAAATGCACCTACAGACACATACAGAATATTCCATCCAACAGCAGCAGAATACACATTCATCTCAAGTGCACACAAAACATTCTCCAGAATACATCACATGACAGGTCACAAACCACGTCTTACCAAATTTAAGAAAGCTGAAATCATACCAGGTATCTTTTCCAACCACAATGGTATGAAACTAGAAATCAATACCACGAGGAAAGCTGAAAAATTCGCAAATATGTGGGGATTGAATAACATACTCATAAAAAACCAATGGGTCTAAGAAGAAATCGAAAGCAAAATAAAAAATATCCTGAAACAAATGAAAGCACAGCATATCAAAACCCATGGGATGCTGCAAAGGCAGTTAAGAGGGAAGTTTATAGTGACAAACATCTCAAATAAACAACCTTTTTTACACCTCAAAGAACTAGAAAGGGAAGAAGACACTGAGCCCAAATTTAACAGAACGAAGGGAATAACAAAGATCAGAGCAGTAACAAAGGAAATAGAGACTGAAAAGATAATAGAAGAGATCAATGAAACTAAGAGCTGTTTTTTTAAAAGATAAATAAAATTGACAACCTTTAGGTAGACTCATCAAGAAAAAAAAAGTAGACTCAAAGTCAGAAATGAAGAATAGATGCTAAAATGGATATCACAGAAACACAGAGACTACTAAGAAAAATTATATACAAATTGGACAACCTAGAAGAAATGCATAAATTCCTTTGAAACCTACAATCTACCAAGACTGAATCAGAACAAAGAGAAAAAATTTGAACAGACTGATTACTAGTAAGGAGATTGAATTAGTAATCAAAAACCTCCCAACAAACAAAAGTCTAGGATCAATCAGATGGCTTCACTGGTGAATTCTACCAAATATTTAAAGAATAACTAATGCCAATCCTTCTTAAACTCTTCCAGAAAAATAGAAGGGGAGGGAACACTTCCAAACTCATTTTATGAGGCCAGCATAACCCTGACACCAAAACCAGGCAAGAGCACCAGAATAAAAGAAAATTGCAGGCCAATAGCCCTGATGAACATAGATGGATAATTCCTCAACAAAATATTAGCAAATCAAATTCAGGACATTAAAAGTGGCAAACAGCATGATCAAGTGGGATTTATTCCAGGGATGCAAGAATGGTTTAACATGACTCTTTTTGAATTATGGTTTTCTCAGGATGTATGCCCAGTAGTGGGATTGCTGGGTCATATGGTAGTTCTATTTTTAGTTTTTTAAGGAACCTCCATACTGTTCTCCATAGTGGCTGTATCAACTTACATTCCCACCAACAGTGCAAGAGGGTTCCCTTTTCTCCACACCCACTGTAGCATTTATTGTTTGTAGATTTCTTGATGATGGCCATTCTGACTGGTGTGAGATGATATCTCATTGTAGTTTTGATTTGCATTTCTCTAATGATTCATTCAAAAAGAGTCATGTACCACAATGTTCACTGCAGCACTATTTACAATAGCCAGGACATGGAAGCAACCTAAATGTCCATCAAGAGATGAATGGATAAAGAAGATGTGGCACATATATACAATGGAATATTACTCAGCCATAAAAAGAAATGAAATTGAGTTATTTGTAGTGAGGTGGATGGACCAGAGTCTGTCATACAGAGTGAAGTAAGTCAGAAAGAGAAAAACAAATACTGTATGCTAAGACATATATATGGAATCTAAAAAAAAAAAATGGTTCTCAAGAAACTAGGGGCAGGTTAGGAATAAAGACGCAGACATAGAGAATGGACTTGAGGACACAGGGAGGGGGAAGGGTAAGCTAGGATGAAGTGAGGGAGTGGCATGGACATATATACACTACTAAATGTAAAACATATCTAGTGGGAAGCAGCTGCATAGTACAGGGATATCAGTTCGGTGCTTTGTGACCACCTAGAGGGGTGGGATAGGGAAGGTGGGAGGGAGACTCAAGAGGGAGGGGATATGGGGATATATGTATATGTATAGCTGATTCACTTTGTTATACAGCAGAAACTAACAACATTGTAAAGCAATTATACTCCAATAAAGATGTTAAAAAAATGAAATTTACAATCGCATCATAAAGCATAAAATATCTAGGAATAAATTTAACCAAGGAGCTGAAAGACCTGTACACTAAAAACTATAAGACACTGATGAAAAAATTAAGAATACACAAATAAATGGAAAGATATTCTATGTCCTGGATTGGAAGAATATTATGAAAATGTCCATACTAACCAAAGCAATCTACAGATTCAATGCAATCCCTATAAAAATTCCAATGACATTTATCCCAGAAATAGAACAATCCCAAAATTTGTATGGAACCACAAAAGACCTTGAATAGCCAAAGCAGATAATCTTGAGAAATAAGAAGAAGCATTACGCCTCCTGATTTCAAACTATATTACAAACTTATAGTAATCAAAATAGTATGCTACTGGCATAAAAACAGACACATCAATCAATGGAACGGAATAGAGAGTCCAGAAATAAACCCATGCCTATATGGTGAATTAATTTAT